GCGGAGATGCCGCCGCTGAGACGATCGGGCGCATGGGCTGGGGCCGCGCGCCGCGGGAAGAACGGGCCCAGGCGCGGGCTTAACTATATGGCGGTGGAGGCGACCTCGGCCTCGCGTTGCCGAGCTCCGAGGAGGGGTGGGTCGCCGCCGGGGGGGGGGCTGCTTGCCTTCGCGGCCTTTGCGGCCGCCCGAGGGATTGCCTGGGGGAGGGAGCTCGTCTACTACGTGGCGGACAACATGAATGTGCGCTCCTGGCTCTCCAAGAGACGCCCCGGGCAACCTTCGGCACGCCGTCTCATCCAGCTGGTGGAGCGGCTCGAGGCGAAGTGCGAATTTTCAATGACCGCGGTGTGCGTGCGGGCGCGTCGCGACGTGGTGGCCGACTGGCGGGGTGGGGGGGTCCACGCCGTCCTCGCCAGGAAGGGCCGGGGCCGCCTAGGGCCCAGAGGCCTGGGGCCAGATGCTCGCGGATGCTGGAGATCGGCTGGCGAAGCTACCGGGCGAGACGGGGGGCATCGCAGACGCCGGCTGGGACAGCGCGCCCAGCGGCCGCCGCCGGGCCCGCCGGAGGCCATGCGTTTTAAGGGCGCGCAGGGCATCGTCCTGGGGGGCCCGCTCGGCACCTGCCAGCGGGCCCGTCGAGAGCCTAGGCGGGGTGGTCAGCGCCGAAGTCGAGGGGTGGGCTGGATGCTGGGCTCTTTGACCCTGGGCCCCAAGGGCTTCGACAGCGCCGACCTCCTGGCCCTCGTCGCGCGGGCGCGCCCTCAGGTGATCGTCGCGGGTGCCCCGCGGACGCTGGGCGTGGGGCCCGTCGAGGCCGCGCCGCGCGGCCTCGGGCGCAAGGCGGCCGAGCTCGACGTCGCGCGCGCGCGCTGCGGGGGCGTTGCCGCCCGAGCGAAGTGGGTTGTGCTCGCAGGGCGTGGTCGCGCCGGCGCGAGCCTGGCGGGCGCGCAGACGCCGCCGGCCCGCCGAGCCCCGCCCCGGGGCGCGGCTGCAGCTGGAGGACAGCGACGAGGGCGAGCTGCGCGAGTGGCGCGACAACCGGGGCAAAGTGACTTGGGGATGCGCTGGCCGGGCCTGGGCCGAGGCCCGCGACGCCGCGAGTGCCCGCGGGGCCGCCGGCCAGGAGGAGCGGGGGAGCAGCGCGGCCCGCAGGGCGGGCGCCCTGTCCGATGAGGCGCGCAGGACGCGCGAGAAGAGCCAAGCGGCGAGGTTCCGGCAGATCGAGGGCGACCAGATCCAGGGGCCCACGGCCCCCCTGGACCCGACCTCGGTCGAGTTGGAGCCGTCCGAGGCCAAGGGGCGCCATCGCGGCCGGTGGTCGGCGCGCAGGCGCCATCGCCGATCGGCGTCGCCTGGGCTGCCGCCGGCGACGACCCGAGCCCCTTGGTAGAGCCAGGCGGAGCTCCGATGGCGGCCGGCCTGCTATCGGAGGCGAGAACTACGCGCGGAGTGGCTCGAGGAGCGGAAGCGCGAAGCACTGATGCAGCGCCTCAGTGAGGGCGCCCGTGAGGGGCGCGGGGCTAGATAGCGCCAGTGGCTGATGCGCCGTGGGGCCCAGCAGGGGCCGCCGCGGATCGAGGGGCGCGATCGGGCCGAGCGCAAAGTCGACGAGGACGCCTAGATTGGCTTTGCGATCGTGCTGGCGCGCGTCTTCTGGCGCGCCCTCAGGACAGCGAAGCAAGAGCTGTTCGCCGTCAGGTGCGCGCGCCTTACTGGCGGGGCGCGGCGGCCTGCTTCTCCGCGGGGCGCGCCCGCAGTCGACCTTCGCTGGGCTTCGGCGGCGGCGAGGGCCCAGCGGCCGCGGGAAACCTTCGACCCCGGGGGTGCCCCTCTGGCTTCGGGGCTTCATCCAGGAGGGGGCGAGGCGCAAGGCTTCGGATGCGGCCGCGCTGTTGCTGGCGCTCAACATGGCCCTCTCCACGTTGAGAGCGTCCGAGTTCCTCGTCCAGGACCGGAGCTGGAGCATCGACCGCGCGCTGCGCGGCGAGGGCCTGGGGGGCCAGGGCGCGGGCAACCGGGGCGCGCTCGCATCGCCCCCAAGAGTTGCTGGCGGGCTAGACAGTTCTTCTCTTGGGCCCTCCAGCGTCGGGCGCTGAGCGGCCGCGCGCGACGCGCGGGCTCTCTCGCAGGGTCGCCCCGTGCGCGTTCAGCTCTGCGTGCAGGTTTATCCAGGTCAACTGTCTCAAGGCCGCATCTCTGGGAGTCGAGTCGTCGCGGGGCGGAGACCGTCTTCGGCGCGGTGCCTTTGCTTCGCGGCGCCTGGCGTCGAGACTGGCGCCCTCTCGCGGCCGTGGCCGACGCCGCTGAGTTCGGCCGCGCGGCGAGCGCCAGCGACTTCGGGGCAGATGGCGCGAGCGGCACTGGCAGAGTGCAGGGGCGATCCCGCGTCAGGAAAATGACAGGCCGAGCGGCGCGCGATCACTCTTTCGTTGCTAACAATGTCGTGCTGGATGAGGGAGGCCACTGCCGCCCGAGAGGTGGGGTCGACGCGACGCGACGACCGGCGCCCGCCAAGAGCAGGGCCTCGACACGTCTTTTCGGGAAATGGATGCCAGCCTGCTCAACGAGAGCCTGGGGCCGGGGAAATAGTGGTTGGGCCCTGGGCAGGGCCTCCGAGGGCGCCCTCGTCTTCGAAAGCCGCTCCCTCCTTCGCGAGCGAGCTGGCGCAAAAAACAGCTGAGCCTGTTTTGCCAGGCAAAAATATTATTCGAGGGCGCCTCCTTCGGCCAGAAGACCCCGCTGTTCATGTGCTCCCGCCCGGCAAGAAGCTTGTTCACTTGTTCGTTGATATTTTGAGCGGATGTGGGATAGGGCGAGTTGCCTCGCGTTTCGGGGTGCCGTCGCGATGTTGCGACCATCCCAGAGTTTGGACTCGCTGTCCAAGACAAGGTATTGCAATGTGACTGCGGCGTGCCGGCCAGAAACCGCGTCTGCGCCATCCGAACCTCTCAAGAACCTCAGACCGCTCAAAGTTCAGCATCCGCGACCTGGGAAGTCTTGATCGGGCACCAAATCATTGGGCCCGGCTTGGAAACCACCCTTGAGTTGGTCATCGGAAGTGCCCCGTGGCTCCTGGAGAACCTGCGCGCGAGCAGCGCGTGGAAGCCACCCGAAATCGATGACTTGTCCGCTCGCGAAACTTGCCATCGGGCAATTGTGGATATCTGCTCCCGCGGGCGTCTTTTCCGAGAACGCACCCACATGCCGCTTTGACAGAGTGAGGCTCAGCAGCCTCGAGATCTTTGGTGGCCGCCTGTATTTTGGGATGAGCGGCTGCTCCCTCACAGGATAAACGCGCGTCGAATTGACGGGCCAACGCTTTATCCTTCACGCTTGGTGGACTCTGTCTGCCCAGCCCTACCCCCCCTCTTTGCCAAACGCATGACGACGTGCCTTCTCAGCTCAGCAAACGTTAATTTCGGTGACGATTCGCGGAAATGAAGTCTTTGCAGGCCGGGCGCCCCCAGTCCATGTGTTGCCTGACTCTCGCAGCGCCCTGCTTGCGCGCGCTTCGCTTCTCGGCGTAATTTCTCTAGATTGACTTGCTGCGCTCAGTAGAAATGGAGGACAGTCAGCCGATTGGGGGTGTTCTGGGCGCGATTGTTGGGGCTGTCCGCATGCGCCTCCGCTCAGATGCCCCACCTCCCCGCCCTATTGGATTTGAAGTCTTCGCAGGCTGGGCGCCCCCAGTCTCGGTGCCGTGTTCGCGCGCGCGCATCACTTCTCTGCCGAGTTTCTCCAGCAAGATCTGCTGTGCTCAGGGGAAATGGAGGACAGTAATCCACAAAATCTTTCAGACACCTGGAGAATATCGGTGATGTCTGCCCTTGGGGTTCTCTTGGGGGGCCTCTTGGAGTCCTTCTTGGGCGTCCTGGGCGCCCCCTGGGCAGTCTCGGGGCCATTTTCGGCGTCTTGGATCGATCTTGCGTTGTCTTGGAGGCCGCCGGCTGGCCCGGGCGGGCGCCCCAGGCCCGGGGGGCACTGGCCGCCCGTGGGTTCCCGGGGGCAGGGGTGGGGGAGTCGGGCGGGTGCGACTGGGCGATGGGTTCGTGTAAAATCATGCAGAACCCCTGCCAGGCAGCCCTTGGCATTCTTTCGCGTTCCAACGTGCCGCAGGCACGGTGGCGGATTGGATGAGGCTGCCGAAGTTTCGCATGGCGGGCGCGCTGTGGGCCCGCTAAGGTTTTGCCTGGTGGGCGCCCCGCGCCTTGGTTGGGTCTGCCAGACGCTGGGGGGGGGCTGCGCCCGTGCGCTTTCGGCGGAGGAGGTCTGGCTGATCCGAGGAGGCTGGCCGGAAGAGCGGCGGAAGCTGGCTGATCCGGGGGGGCTGTCTGATCCGACGTCGGGCTGGGGTCGGTTCCGTGCTCATCCATGAGGCCGCGCGCCCGCTGCCTCGGGCGGCGCGCGCTTTGCTGGGGCCGGTGGCAGCCGCGGCCCAGGGCGCCGATGCAGGGGGGGCCGTGGGTTGCTTTGACCCCGTCGGAGCAGCCGCCTAGGAGGCCACTGGGCACTGGGCGTTGCTCCAGGGTTGGCCCGAGGGGCGGATCGCTGGGCGCGACGAGGGCGCTGGCGACCCAGCCACCCGCGCAGGGGCCTTGCTCGACGAGGCGCACGAAGCTAGCAATAACAGCCACTGCGCGCGCTTCCGCCAGATCGAGGACGACCCCGCCCAGGGGCCAACAGAGGCCCCCGTGGCCGAGCCATCGACGCTGGAGGCCGCGGGGGTAGCGCGTCCAAGGCCAGGGGGGCGAAGCGGAAGAAGACAGGGCGGCCGGCCGGCCTCAGCCCCGGGCGCCTTTTGGGCCACCCCTCGAGCCCTCGGCCAGGGGGGGCCAGCCTTCCCGTGGCCGACCGCCCCGCGCTCGGCGGTGAGGACTTTGCTTCTTGGCTCGAGGAGGAGAAGGAGGCGGCGCTGCTGCAGCGCCGCAGCGAGGGCGCGCGCGAGGGCTGCGGCGCGGGTTGGATGCGGTAGCCGCCATGCCGCGCGGCTCAGCAAGGGCCCCCGCGGCTCGAAGAGCGCGACCGCGAGGAGAGGAAGCTCAACGAGGACGCCCCGATCGGCTTCGCGATCGTGCCGGCCCCCATCCCGCGCCGAACGGTCGGGGCGGCGAAGCAGAAGATCTTCGCGATCAGGCGCGCCCACTTGGTTGCGGGGCATTGCGACTCGCTGCTCCACCGCGCGAGGCCCTGGTCCACGCTGGCCAGCCCACATAGGTGGCAAGGGCCTGGTTGGGTGGAGAAGCCGGCGACTCCGCGCGCGATGCTCTGGTTGAGGGACTTCGTCAAGCAGCAGTCGAGCCTGGCGCCGCCAGGCGCGGCTGCCCTGACGGCTTTCTTCTTCGCGCTCACCGGGTCTGAGTGCCTTGCGCGGGCCAGGGGGGGCTGGGGCATGGGCCGCGCCCCTGCGCGGCGAGGACATCGAGGTCCGCGACGCGGCGAACGAGCTGGGCTGCGATATCAGCGACGCCTCCGGGCTGGTGAGCCAGATCATGGTGTCCAAGACGGACCAGTCAAACGCGGGCTGCCCCCGCAACTGGCGCCGGGCGGGGTCGGCCTCAGCGCGCTGCCCTGCCTAGGCCATCGAGGAGCTCCGCGCCCACTCCCCGGAGAGGCCCCAAGCCAGAGGCGCTTCCCGCTGTTCCGCTGGAGCAGCGGGGGTGCCATTTGGCGGGGGGGGCGCGGCGCGACCTCGCCGTCGCGGCGCAGGCCGCGGGCTTGCAGCTCTCGGGATGGAATGGTTCTCGCTGCGCATCGTCGGCGCCGCGTCGATGCGCCGCGCGGCGGATGGCTCCCAGAAGGGGGGCGCTTCGGGTGGCGGGCGGGCCTCCGACGCCTTCCGCGGCCGCCCGCGGGGGTCGCGCGAGCCGATGCGAGGCGCGGCCCAGCAGATGGCGGAGGGCGCGCCCGAGCTGGCCCATCCGCGCAGCGGCGCCGGCGAACAGGGCGAGGGGGCGGAGGAGTCGGGCGGGGGCCCGAAGGGGCAGGGGCGCCGGCCCTTCGGTGGCCAGGCGCAGGCGTTCCGCGCAAGCCGGCCAGCGGCCAGGGGCTGGCGGCCGCCGCCGCGGCCTCGGCAGCGAGCGGCGCCGCGGGCGGGCCAGTGGCGATCCGAGACGAGCATCCGAGAACCATCGCACTCCGCGCGTCGGTGGATGGGTACCGCGCGGCGATCCCCCTCCCGATGCGCGCCGTGATAATGGGCCTCGTCGGAGCGGTCTGCCTGTGGCGGTCACGCGCGGCATCTACAAGGCCGCGAAGGCGGCCGCGGCGGCAGTCAGCAGCGCGATCATAGCGCCCGCGCCGCAGGCGCTGAGCCCTCAGCATCGAGGATGAGGGGCCCGAGAGGACCCAGAAGGGGCGTCGCATCTTCTGCGACCGTCGGCGCGCCACTCGCGCGGGGCCCGCTACTCGCGCGCCGCCCGGGGCTTCGGGGGGGGGCGAGGTGGCGAGGGCGGTCGCGTCGCGCGAGGTGGCCCCCTCGATGGAGCGCCGTGCGGAGTGCGTGCGCGCCGCCGGCTGAGCAGCCGGGCGGGCGCGCGCTGCCCGTGCAGGCTCGGGGCCGGAACGCGGCCGGCGTCGGAGCGGTTGCACGGCGCTTGCGCGCCGTATGAGGGGGGGGCGGTGACCCCGCGGGTCGAGCGGCGCGAGGGGCGCCGCTCCGCCCCAGATGATCGGCCGGGCAGCGCGCGCACAGCAGGTGCACGGGCACTGGGCGCCCCGCGCGCAGGGCGCCAGCGCCGCGCTTGCCCGCCTGGCGCCAGCGGATAGACCCAGACCGGCGAGCATCTTCGAAGAACTGACGCGCAGGGCGCTCGCGAGGGCGAGCGCCCGCGTCGCGCGGGGGAACGCGGCGAGAGCCCTTTGCGGGAGACAGAGGAGGGCTGGCTGCAGCCGGCGATCTTGCACCAAGCAGAACAGCTACCGCGCTGCTGCCGCAGCTGCGTCGTCGTCGTCATGCGAGGCTGCAGCCGCTGCCTTGTCCTTGAGCCTGCCGGTTGCCTGCCGGGGCTCTACGCTCGTGTTCCCAATGTCGAACTGATGCCGCGGCTAGCTGCGGCAATTTGATGATGCGGATGGCTCGCCGAGCCCCCAGATCGGCGCGGGCCCCCTCTCCGCCTATGTCCTTGCCGCTGCCCGGTGCTCCCCTTTCTCCCCCCCGTCGGGGGCTCGAGCTTACTGGGGGCCGAGCTGGCCCTCCCCAGGGCCCGTTCTGGTGCCCTCCGACCCTTTTGGGGGGCCTCGTCCGTCGCTCATTCGACGCGATTGCGGCGGCGAAAGCCTCCTGCGAGAGACGGAAGAGGGCTGGATGCAGCCGGCAAGTTTATGCCGAGCAAAACAGTTGCCGTGCTGCTGCCTCTGCCGCCTCGTCGTCGTCATGTGAGTCCGCTGGCGCTGCTCTGCCCTGGCTCAAGGTTTGTTTTCTCTTTGCGTCGAGCTGCTAGCTCGTTTAGCCGCCAGTCGGCGACGTGAACGCCGAGGTCCCCTTGGACCCCCCTGAAGTCTGATACCCTCCTCTGCAGGCGCCCGAACCACGCCGGGGCCGCTGGGGCCACCTGCGAGCAGGCCGGGCGGCGCCGCGAACGCCCGGGCCATTTAGAGCCCGTTCAAGCCTGAGGCTCCCCCGAAAGGAGTCCACCCGGTTGTGGGTCACTTCAGAAACGGGCGGACGCAGTCATCGTCGCCGTCTTCCGCCCGCCACGGGACAAATGATGGGGACCGAGAGATGCACGAATAGACGATTCTTCCACATATATTGATGGATTCGGATTCGCTCGCGCCCCAAGACGCCGCAGAGGCATCCGAGAGGTCCTCAGACGACGACGGGGCCCCGAAGGCGCGCGAGAAGTCCTGGAGCTTTGACCGCGACAAAGAGTTTTTCACTTCACGCCCTTTTCTCGAGGCGGGGTTCGCCACCCCTTCTCCGAACGATGACCTTCACCCTCTCGGGGTCATCGGTGTCGCCCGGTGTCGCCCCCCCGCCGCGCCAACCCCTGCTCCTCTCCGACGACCCTCGCATCCACCTTGCTCCCAATGCCCCCGGATCCCCTTCGCGTCCATGGACGTAGTTGTTCGACCTGGTGACCTTCGCCCACTTCGCGGCCGTCGCATCAGTTCTCTCGCTGCCGCAAGCGCATTCCGTAATCATTTTGTTTTTTTCGGGCGACAGCTGGGCCGCTTGTCTTGTCGTGTCCATCTGATTCGTCGTTTTCGTCCCCTTCCTCATCTTCATCCTTCGCCGCCCTAGCTGCGGATTATTATTTTCTGTGCTTGCTCCGTTGACGCTCATTGCATTTTTCATTGAACGTCGTGATTGCAACCCCCTTGTGGTCACCTCTTCCTCCCACCTCGCATGCATGACTTTGGCCCCGTCACACCGATGCACTTTTTCCCAATTAGAGACACGCCTGCGGCTCGTTCCAGGTCGATGGCCGTGCCCCCCCGTGGTCATCCGCTGCTTTCACCAGTCACCAATTTACCGAGTGGTTGGAAGTGCGTGGGCGCAGGACCAAGATTGAGGCGCAGCGAAGGGCGCTCAAACTTTGCGCGTCCCAGCTTCATCCCCCCATGCTCTTAATATCTTACTCTCCTGTTCTCTCCGTCCCTTTTCTCCCTTTCTCTCTCTGCCTGTGCCCCCCTTCCTTTTATAGGGAAGGCTAATATCGCGGCTGGCGCTGCCAACCCCGCGCTCGGGACCTCGCCTGGGACCCCCGTTGGCGAACCACCCCTGGGACCCCGGGGGGTGGCATTCTGACCCGGGACCCTCCCTCAGGAGGAAAAAAGCACACAGACACAATTGATGGTCGATTCCCCCCACAATTTGGGAAAATATGGGAAGTGGGGGGGAAAACAAAAGTCCAGAAAATATGGGGAAAGATGGGGAGTCCTGTTATTTGTGTCTATTAATTTGCGTGTCCCAGGGCCCCTTCACTCCCTCCTCACCCCCCCCACCCACGCTCGTCGGGACCCCCCCGCGGCAGGGAATGGATCAAAGGGAAGGGTCTTCTGTCGGGGCCTTTGTGCATGTTTTCTGCAAAACGGCTTGATGTGCTCATGCGATGCCGCAAAAAACATCAGGCCACCCTTCTCTGTCCTGTCCTCATTTCCCCTCTTCTTCGGGCTTCCCCCTCTTAATCCGCGTTCTTCCCTTGTTTCCGTTCCAGACAGACCTTGACAAATTTCCAAACGATCTAACACGCGACTCGTTCGTAATTGACCAAGTCCTTGCCAGAACAGCCGGCTGGAATTCGGGAGGTATTTGTATTCGTCAGTCTAGCTAAGCGCCGCGCGTGAAGCGTCCGATACCAGCTTGAGCGCACGCTTGTTCGGAATTACGCATCTGCGAAACGCTATACACAATCACATGCTTGCACAGACGCACGCATGTATGACATGATGGGAGATCCTTATGTGTACTTATCCCTTCCGTTCGTTCCTCCTTTTACTCCTCCTCCTCCTCCTCCTCATCATCATCATCCCTTCCCACTCAACTTTCCCTTCGTGGTGGCCGCCCAGGTGGATCCGTGGCTCGCCCGACGAATTTGAATCGAGGTACCCAGACGCTTCGGAGAGGCCCGGGGGCGCGCTCGGGCTGCTCAAGACAGTAGAGGGGACGGCATGGGGTATCGGAGTTGCATCGAATGAGGTTGGGAGTGGGAGAGCGGAGGGATGGCGACGGCAAGTGAGGGACACAAGGTTGGGAGGGGGAGGGGCAGGGATGACGAGAAAGGAATACTGAAGGTGAGGGGTTGACAGGGACAGGATAGTTGGGGAAGAGGGAGGGGATACGGGAGGGATGGCAGAAGGGAGTAGAGATGGTCGTGAGGGGAGGGAGCATCAACAGCCACAGTGGGGACGGCAGGCCATTGCGAATGGATCTGGCCACACAAGGCAGATTCCAAAAGTTGAGGAGCTCCCCGAGCTCAAGGTGGGAAGGTGTACGGGAGGAGGATGGATGGGGAAAAAATGACATGGGAAGCCAGGTGCGCTCGCACCATGTCTGGCATCGTACCCTTTCCACCCATTCATTCTCGCTACTTTGAACGCAGTTCCATTTGCTGAATCGGGTTAAAAATCTGACTGTGATGCCCAGATGGCATTTGCAATGCCTCGGGATTGAAGCGGGAAAGGAGATCTGAGCACTGAGCGCTTCCTCCCCTGCTCTCCCTCTCCACCTCGCTCGTCTTTCTGTTCCCTGAGCTCCCTCTTGGCCATGGCGAGGTACCCTGAGACCCGAGCCGACGTTGCGAACACAAATGCGCCATCGCGCAAAAACATCACCGGAGCCCTCGACCCCACCTTTATGTTGCTGTGTTTCGACCCGGATCAATGTGTGCTGGTCCAGGGGCCTGATGAAACCAGGCGAAAACGCCCGGCGTTAGACACCTGCAACGCCCGGGTCTCAAGGCACGGGCAATGCCGCAAGCTGGCGGACGCATCGAGGATGGTGAGCTTAAGGCTTCCCCGCCCTGGGCCCACCCCGCAGCTCCTGCACCGCCCTAAGACACCAGGGCCCCGGCGGCGAGGCCCTGGTTCGACGTGGGCCTCGTCAGACGCCTGAACGAGGTCGGCTACCCGTACTCCGTCAAGCTTCTAGGCTGGAGGGGGGCGGGCTCCAGGCCGCCGCTGGGCGCGGGCCGGAAGCGAAGAGGCACCGATGCCCTTACCCGGAGGGCACCAACTATACACCAACACCGATCCTGGCCCAGGATCACCCTGGGCCCAGGATCGGTGTATATGCCTTCTTGCGCAAGGCAGGAGGGCGTATACACCGATCCTGGGCCCAGGGTGATCCTGGGCCAGGATCGGTATTGGTGTATAGTTGGTGCCTTCCTACTTACCCCTGCTTCGTTTCCGCTATTTCGGTGCCTTATGGAAGGCCCTCGTCGCCACGGCTGAATTCCCTGAGATCTGGGCGCAGCCATTTTTGTCGCATCGGGCGTGTTCTCTGGCAGAGGACTAGTTCTCCAGACGCCCGGTTCGCCAGAGAGCCGGTTCGCCAGAGGACCGGTTTGCCAGTTTCCAGTTCGCCTGAGGATTGTCAAGGCCCAGTTCGCCAGAAACCGGTTCGCCAGACCTGGTTCGCCGCACCCGATTCGCCAGACCTGCTTCGCCCCGGCGCGCCATGTCCAGTTCCCCAGGCCTGGTTCGCCAGGCCCGGCTCCTCAGGCCCAGTTCGCCAGACATGCAGCGGGACCAGTTGGGTGCGGCAGTTCGGCCCTATCCTCCTGAAACTTTCCTGAGGACATTTTCTGGAAGATTTTCAGGATTCCAAAATCCTTCCAAGAACCTACCGCAGGAAGGTTCTAGGATTCCAAAAACTTTGAGAAAAACCTTCCTGGGGAAGGTTTCTAGGATTCCAAGAACCGTCCAAAGAAAAACCATCCTGAAAAAGGTTAGTGGGATTCCCAAAAACCATCCGAAAACAAGTTTTCATGAAGATGTTATGGATTCCAGAAATATTCCCCAAAAGCCTCCTTGAGGCAGGTTTCAGGATTCCCAAAACCTTTAAAACAAAACCTCTCTGAGGAAGGTTTTCAGGATTCCAGAAACCTTTCAAACAAAAACAAAAAACCTTCCTGAGAAAGATTTTTCGGATTCCAAAAACCTTCAAAAAGCCTTCGTGGGGGAGACGTCGAGACAGATTTTCGGAGGACCCCCCCCCAAAACCTTTCAAAAAACATTTCTGAGTAAGGTTTTGGGAAGGTTTTTAGGAGCTGCCCCCCCCCAAACCTTTCAAACAAACCTTCCAGAGGAAGGTTTTAGGGAGGGGTTCAGAAGAATCTTCGAACAAACATTCCAAAACAACCTTCCTGAGGAAAGTTTTAAGCAAGGTGTTTAGGAGGAGTCCTCCAGAAGCCTTCCAAAAGACATGATTGAGGAAGGTTGTAGGAATGTTTGTTGGAGGAATCCTCCAAACGCCCGCCAAAAAAGCTCCCCCCTGGAAGGTTCCAGTAATGTTCTTAGGGGGGTTCGAGAGAATCCATCGCAAACCTTACCCCCCAAAAACATTAAAAGACTGCTCGAGGAAGGTTTTAGGAGGGCTTTTATAAGGAATCCTCCACAAACCTTCAAACAAAACCTCCCCGAGGAAGGATTTAGGGCGGTTTCTAGGAGGAATCAGCCAAAACCTTCAATTTGTTTTTCCCGGAGGAATGTTTCATGACCATTCTTAGGAGGAGCCCCCCCCAAATACCTTCCCAGCAAAACCTTCATGAGGAATGTTTCAGGAAGGCTGTCAAGAGGAATCCTCCCCAAACCTTCCAAGACACCTTCCGGACAAAAGGCTTTAAGAAGGCTTTTAGGGATAATCTTTCGAGCGCCGTTCCAGGAATAATCTTTTGAAGCACAAAACCTTCCCAAGGAAGACTTGGGAATATCTTCTCGAGGAATATTCGCAAAACTTTCCAACGAACCTTCCTGAGGAAGGTTGATGACGGCTTTCAAGGGGAATTCTTGCATAACGCGTCAAAAGAAAACCTCCCCGAGGGAGGTTTCGGGGGTTTTCAAAGGGGGAACCCGCGCAAAACCGCGAAAACCAACCTTATCGAGGAAGGCTTTTATGATTTCTGCCGCAGGAATCGTTCAAACACCTTTCTGATAGTCCTCCAACAACCTTCCGAAACAAACGTTCTGAGCGAGGTTTTAGGAAGGTTTTAAAGAGGAATCCCCCAACTAACCTTGAACAAAACCTTCCCGGGGGGTATTCGGGGCTTTCTAGGATTCCGAACGCATTCAAAACAACTTTCAGGATTCCAACAACATTTCCAAACAACCTTCCTGGGAACAGCTCTTATGATCCCAAACGCCTTCTCAACGATATCTTCCCGAGGAAGGTTTCAGGGTTCCAAAAACTCTCCAAACCTCAGAAGTTTTTTAGGAGGGTACCTTCCAAAACCATCCGAAAACCTTCCCGAGGAACGTTCTGGGAAGACTTCGAGGAGGACCCCCCCAAACACCTTCAGACAAAACCTTCCTGAGGAATGCTTTAGACAGTTTTTTTTCTGCGAAGAACCCCCCGACCACCTTTCGAACAAACCTTTTCCGAGGAAGGTTTCAGGTGGTTTTAGCTGAAATCCTTCGCGCGCTCGGCTAAAACATAAAAAACTTGCCGAGTTGTTTAAGTTGAGTCTTCCGAGGACCTTCCAACAACAATCCGGAGGGCGGTCTTAGACATACTTGCAGGAAGAAGCTCAAAACAACCTTCCAATACAACTTTCCTGAGTCAGATTTTAGGAATATGTTTTGGAGGACTATTCCAACAACCTTCCAAAACAACCTTTTTGGGAGGAGGGTCTGAGAGCGGCTTTCAGGCGGAATCTTCGAACAACAAATTTCCAACGAACCTTTCTGGGGAAGGTTTTCAGGATTCCAACAGCCTTCCAACTGAGGAGTTTTTTTTTGGGTTCTAAGGACCTCAAACAAAAACCATCCAGGGGGGAGGTTTTTCACGATTCCAAAAACTCCCCCCCCCGAGAATTAGGGAGATGTTTGAAAAGGAATCTCTCCAGCACCTTCCCGCAAAACCTTCCCGCGGAAGGTGTCCAGGACGGTTTTTAGAAGGCGCCCCCCAAAAATCCTCCAGGAGGAGGAGGAGGAGGAGGAGGAGGAGGAGGAGGAGAGGAGGAGGGAGGAGGAGAAGGAGGAGGATGAGGAGGAGGAGGAGGAGGAAAGAAGGAGGAGAAGGAGGAGGAGGAGGGAGGAGGAGGAGGAGGAGGAGGAGGAGGAGGAGGAGGAATGGCTTAGGAAGGCCGGGGGGCGCGAGGAAGCGCGCGAGGGTGCGCAGGGCCGCGGGTCGCCCACGGGGCAGGGGCAGGGGCGCGAAGAGAGCCGCGCAGGGGCAGGGGCGCGAGGGGCAGGGGCCTGAAGGGGCAGGGGGCGCGAGGGGCAGGGGGGCGTGAGGGGCAGGAGGGAGGAGGGAGGAGGGAGGAGGGAGGAGGGAGGAGGAGGGAGGAGGAGGAGGAGGAGGAGGACGAGGACGAGGACGAGGAGGAGGAGGAGGAGGAGGAGGAGGAGGAGGAGGAGGAGGAGGAGCAGGGCAGGGGGCGCGGGTCACCCCACGGGGGGCGCGGAGAGCGTCGCGCGCCGCGCGTCGCGGCCTGGGCCGCCAGCCTGCCCCCCTGTCCGGGGCAGCGGCGCGCGGGCGCGGAGAGGGCTGCGCGTCGCACCTCCGCGGGGCCCGGGGCGCGGAGGTCGGTGACCCCGGCAGGGCCCGCTCGCAGCGGGCGGGGGCCACGGGAGCAAGGGCGGGGCGGCGGGGCGCACGTGCTCCTCTGCTGCTCGTCAGGCTGCGCCCGGGCGCCCCGGAGCCGCTCCTCGCGCTGTTGTCCCCGGGAGGCCTCGCGCAACGAGCACGGCGCACGGCGGTGCGCGGCAGGTCCACGGTTCGCGCGTCCCAGGAGGTGAGGGGAGGGGCTGGGGGCCCGGAGCGGACCTCGGAGGAGGGCCAGTCGAGGCACTGGCGGCCCTCCCCTGGCGCTTTTCGTTTTCTTGTTGCTGTGGGGGGCTCCCCACAGGCTTCTCGTCGCAACTGCTGGATCCGCCTCTCTTGTCGCAATCCTCCTCCTCCTCTGCCTCTCTTGTCGTATCCCTCCCCGCGCCCGTCCGCCCTGTGGGGTCCCTGGCAGGCAGCCTCCGAGAATTTCCGACAATCTCCCCGAGATCGTCCTAGGCCTTCCCGCTCCCCCCCTCCAGGGGCCGCTGGAGGCTTGCACAGAGAACCAACAGCACCCAACATCTCGATCCTCGATCCTTCTCCTCCTGCTGGTCACTCGGAGCTCTTGAATCGAGCGGAGTGAGGCGTGTTCGCGGACCACGAGAGCACCTACGTGGTCAGCTCGCTGGCGTCCGAGGTCGGTCTTTGCTCCGCGGGGTTGGGGGCAGAATGGGGAAGATGCGGAGGAGGAGGAGCAGGAGGAGGATGAGGACGAGGAGGAGGAGGAGGAGGAGGAGGAGGAGGAGGAGAAGGAGGAGGCGGAGGAGGAGGATGATGAGGAAGAGGATCCACATATTCGAGGTGTGAGGACATTCAATTTCTGAAGGTTTTTCGCCCTCCCCTGGCTTTCTGTCAACCAGCCACGACTTCATGTTCGACTTTTACGCGACCATCGACATCGCGCCTCACATCCTCCGCTTCATCTGCACCCTCTATGCCCAGAACCACTGCACACTCTGTCGGCGGGGCTCGTCTCGGAGTTTTCGATCAGAAGGCAGCCATACGGCAAGGGTGTCCTCTATCACCAACCCTGTTCGTGGTGGTGGCCGGCCTGCTGCTGCGCGGATTTGCCACCGATTCGCGCAGGCGCACGATGGCGCACGTAAGCCGACGACCTTGCCATGGTGGTGCTGGACATTCAGTTGGCTACCCCAATGTTGGAGTGTGTCGTAGAGGTGTGCGAGGCGCTGTTAGGACCCTGGCTCCACCACGGCAGGACCGTAGTGGTGCTACTTCGCTTTGCCGTCGCGGACCACCTCTGGCGACTGCCCGCGCGGGTTGCGCAGACGCCCGCGGATGTTAGCGTCCAGCACCACGCAGAGTACCTGGGCTTCGTCCTCGGACCGAAGCGCGGCACTCGCACGTGACAGGAGGCGTTGCAGAACTACTCGGACCGAGCGCATGTTTGGGGCTGGACTGGGTTGGGAGCCTTCAGTGGATGCTTGCGCGATGCCAGTCCGCACCGTTCTTTTGGACGTGCTGGCATCTCTGCGATTTTTGCCTGCATTACGTTGGTCTACCCGTCCGCCTCCAACGCCCAGAACATCGCCAAACTCTGGCGGGTGCTAGCGGAGATGCCCATGCCGCTCGTCGCGGTCCTTCTGGGCAACATCGGGCGAGAAGCTTACAAATGGCGGATGGCCCCCGTTTGGGCGGAGGCAAGCCGCCACAAGCTGGACAAGCAGGCGGCGAGACGCCCCACCGCCAGCCAACGTGACGAACCCCGCGCGCGCCGGGCGACGGCGATTCTCTAGAATACCGTCGTCAAGAATGCTACAATGAATTTCGTGGTGGAGAGAGCTGCGCCTTGGCACCTCCAAGCCCCAGTGGCTCTTCGACTTTGCTAAGCGACATTGTTGGGGCATGGCCGCCTCAGAGCCCCCGCCCACAGATGCCCGAGGGGCAATCGCGAATGGTGGCACGGCCGCGCTCTGGAGCATAACGGTGGGAAAGACATGTGTTCTCCGTTCTGACATCTTCGGGCGCCGTGCAGTCGCTGTCAAGACGACGGTGGCCACGTACGTCAGCACGTGCGGCCCAATCGCTGGGAGGACGAAGTGGCCCCGACAGGATCGTCGGCGTTGATATCAGTTGGAAACCTCGTCGCGCACGGTGGGTGTCTGCCGACCTGCCCGGCGACAGCAGCCGGCTCGTCGCAATATCACTGCCCGCGACGGTCCAACCCCGACGCCCCCGCGCCCGTCCACCGTCCACGAGGGCCTCGTGGTCGGCGCCCCGTGTTCTGTCTGGCAGTTTGTCCAGCGGCGGCCTTACCGCCTTGCTGCTTGCACCTTGGCATGGGGTGCAGGCTGGCATGGCCGCGGCCTGTTTAATGCCTGCTTCCTGCATCGCACCTGGGGTGCGTGTCCGCACCTGGGGCTGCCGTTCGCACCTCTGGCTAGCTTGAGTTGTACGTCGGCTGGATTGCCGGCGTCCTATGCGTTGGTGTAGCGTGTTGGCTTCGCTCGTCCGCCGTTCACTTTGTCTCTTTTGGTCGGAGTGTTGCGACCTTTGAGGTGACGCGTACACTCTCTCTTGGGCCTGGGTGGTTGCTCATCCTCGTGTTGATTTCACCTGCTTTGCTCTTCGCGGCTTCGGCTGCGTTGGGTCTGCTGTTTCAACATTGGCCTCTGCAGCGCACGTTGGCCATGCTCGCGCTTTCCACCACCCACGGCCTTGCTCGCGCTTGTCCATCACCCATGCGCGCCGCCGCGTTTCGCGGTTTCTGATCGCGGTCTCCCGCGTTCAGTTGTGTTTGTGGTGTCCCAGGCAAATCCAGCCTTGGCTGCGTGATCGTCTGTGTCGCGTGACCTCTTGCATTCTGCTGCACGGTCGCTTATGTGGTTCTTGCCCGCTGCAAGGTCGGCGGCGTCGCTTTGTTGCGCAGCTCCCTGCGTGCATGCGCCGCCGCCAAGCGGTTTGGTCTGACAGACTTACAGTTGTCGTCCGTTGCCTCTTTGAGGCTCCAATTCGCGCCGGGCTGCTGGTTGCGCAGCAAATTTCCTACGTCGAGCTTTCGCTTCGCTGGTTTATTGACCGCTGCACTTCGGCTGTGCGGCGCCCTCCTCCGCCGCCGCTCTGCGCGGCCGTGGCTGGCGCGTTCGATTCAGTTCGTTCGCGCTTGCCGCCTCCACCTGCCGACCGGGCCCGAGGCCCCCCTGCGCCGCCGATTCAATAAACCATCCACGAGGGCACCGTCTTCTTGGATGGCATCCCGCTGCGCGGCGCGGCCGAATTCCGGGTCGCCTCCCAAGGGCGGCGCCGGCAACTGCAGCGCCTGCGCCGCGC